AATCAATTTCCTTCCATTGTAATGAATCAACTACATAGAAATTGTTTCCATCACATACTCTTTCATATGCATGTCATCTAATATTCTTTGTTCCATTTACATTAGCAAATAGTCTCTTAACCTTTTGAATTATCGGTAGGTATCTCATCACCTTGGAAGCAACACCCTTTCTAGTTACACCATCATCATATTCATCACCATTGTCCTTCTACATGTAGTGCGACTCTCCATACCTCGGACACTCCTTCAAGTTCTCATACTCTTTCCTATATAATATACAATCATTACGACATGCATGTATTTTGACATAATCCAAACTCATTGGATACAATATCTTATTGGCCTCATAACTATGGTTCGAAAATGTGTTACCTTCTGGAAGTATTTCTTGCAACAACTCAAGCAATTCAGTGAAACCTTTATTCATCCACATGTAACACCTTGTCTCTCGTTAATTTTAATTTACATGAGCTAATATTGATTTTTATGAATCACGTGTGTGCTCAGATAATTTTAATTGATTTATTGCGGTGGATAGAAATTGTTGGAAATTAATTAAAATTATTGGTTGATTTAATTAATTTAAATAATAAAAAATAGGAGGTTTAATTGAATTGGATGGAAAATGAAATTAATAGAAATCAGACTTGGGACGACGTTATTCTATTGGCCATGTTCTCATCAAATCCCAACTTTAATATATAATAGTAAGAATTAGGGTTTCTCCACAATTTAATTTCAACAATGCCCTTGACTCCAGTATTTCATTTTTTTAATTAAAATTTAAACACATAAATGAAAATGATAGATATAAATTAAATATATAGTAAATGTTTTGTTTTAATTTTTTTAAATAAAAATGGGAACCGAAATTCATCAAAAATGAATAAAATCAGGCGCGTGCTAGACCAAAAAAATAAAATGAATGCATCAAAATAATCTACACGCAACAAAGTTCAATAAAAATGTTCGAGAATATTCAAAATCAAATAAAAATGCTCAGATAAACAAGGTCTGATTGTACAAGAAGTGATTGCACGCAGACTTAGAAAAATAAAATGAGCATACCAACAGTGATCTTCACACCAGAGTTTCACAAAATAGTCCAGTACAAGTTAAAACTCTAAATATTTTGTCTGTTAATTTTACGCACAATGTTGAATCGCTTTTGACAAACTTCTTGTAGAATCGAAATTTCATTCTGATTAAACTTTGACCAACTTCGCGCAATGCATGAGGCGGTGTAAGTAAATAAAAATTCATTAATTGTTATTTTGGTTATTTTTTATTTTTAAATGATGTAAATATTGACTTAAGTTGACTTTTAGTCAACCTAATGTATGCATGACCAATTAATGATGTAAATACAGTGAATGAATGACACTGAGGTAAAATTGGGATTTGAAAATATTCACTGATGAACCCAAAACTCGCACTAAAGTCGTCGCAAAAGATGAATATTCATACCTGAATCCATAATAATTCCCAAAAACGGTCACAAAAAATGAAGATTTATAGGTGAATCCAAAATCATTCATTAAAACAGTCACAAAAAATGAAAATTCATAGTTGACCCTAAAATTCGTCACTAAATCCATCTCGGACGATGAATATTCATAGTTAAACCCCAATTTCGTCACTAAAATTGTCGCAGAAGATAAATCTTCATTGTTGAATCCATAATTTATCACTAAAGCTGACACAAAAGATGAATATTCATAGTTGAACCCAAATTTGTTACTAAATTAGGGGGTGAATATTTTATAAAAAATGGGGAGACTAAAATTGAAATATAGTATTTTAGAGAGATTACATGTTAAATATGTTTAAATCTCAACTCCAAAAGGTAGCTCAAAGGATGAGGTTGCCCTCAAATATTTATATATTCAATCGCCTAGAAACCTAAACAATATGGGACTTCAAACAAAATCCAACAACACAAATACCAACTTCAACACCCACCCTCACGCCTAACGTGGGTCTGAGTCAAATATTTATATTGCAGTCTTTAACTCAGCTTTGATACCATGTTAAATATGTTTGTATCTCAATCCCAAAAACTAGCTTAAAAGGTGAGGTTACCCTCAAATATTTATACATTCAATAACTCATAAATCTAAATAATGTGAGACTTCAAACAAACTCAAACAACGTAAATACCAACTTCAACACTATAAACTTATAATCCTTTAAATTATTTGATTTTTATAATTATAAAAAACAATTATTATTATTATTTTATAATAAAATTGGTGCATTGAATTTTAAATAATTCATAAAATATGTTGAATGAATTGAATTTATCTATAATTTTAAATTAATAAATTTAATCTAAACTGTTAATGAATTTTTTAATGAATTGGATATAAATATGATATTAAATAGAATATTATGTCAAAATTTGATTCATTTAATTGATTTAAGATAAAACTTAATGACTGAATTATTTGGTGGATGATTTTGATGAATAATGACTTAGTAGCCTCACAAAATAATTTGGTAGATGGATTTGATGGATAATGAATTAGTAGATTCAATTGTCATCCCAAATTAAAATAAGAAGATAAAAAATATATTCCCTAATCAAAATAAGAAGATAAAAAAGATATATTTAAAAATTATATATTTTTAAAATAATCAAATTATATTCATTGCATGTCTTTCAAAGTAAGATTGTTCATTAACTAGTGATGATCCAATCCCTAAAACATGGGGTATGGTTTCACCATAAATAAGAGTGACAAATAGAAATGTTAGTTTCATTTAGGTTCATCCTAAAAAAAACCAAAAAATAGAATGAAGTAGACATTCTTTAGGACGCGGGCTTTAAATAATGATTCATCTTAAAAAATTAAGGATGAGATAGATATGTGGATATTGTATCTTAAATTATGTTAATATTTATATATGTATAAGCCCGCAAAAGACAAAATAAATATATTAGAAGATGTGAGTATGAAATTTTGATTCGTCTCACAAAATATATAGATAAAATAAATTTGTCCGACGTGTCAGGCTAGTTTTTCTATCCTAATCTTAAACAATTGAATTGAATGTTTTTTTTTATGGTAAATAATACCTTATGCATTAGAGAAAATAGATAAAGTACAAACATGAGACGCAATGTGTTAGGACATTTCCCATCCACATTTTAACAACAAAATTATTACTTAAGCCTATCAAGATTTGGACATCAAAAACCTTTGAAAATTTAGAAAACAATAGGGCATTCCTAATCCAATTCCTTATTCCAAGCAACCAAACAAAACTCTTCCACATATCATAAGTGAGTTGAGGAACCAAAACCACAATCTATTCAGTTACAGATCATTTCTTTAACTTTGTGATGCACAGTTCGATTATACGAATTCTTGAAGTTGGTTAAACTCATCATATGTGAAAGAGTCATTTGTTGAGTGGAAAAGAGACTGATTTACAACAATCATTGTTAGATTTTCATTCATAAATACAGTTTTTGTTTCCACAATTCTTTTAGGCATTTCAATAAATACCATAACTACAAACTTAAAAAAACACTAAACTTAAAAACAACAAACAAATCTTAAACATACAAAAGAATATAATAACAATAACTATTTCAGATACACAAACATAATATCCCGTGATTTTGTATTTTTCGATGGCAAAGCCTCCGGTAGAGGTCAATTTCCATATCCATATAAATATAATGGTTTTGGAATTGAGAACACATGAACGTACTTGACATGAGGAATGATAGAACTTCTCTCTAACTATTCAATGCACATTCACAAGTTAATATTGACTGTGATTTGTCCAATTGAATTGAATGTAAGATATAAACAAAATGGATAGAATTACACTTACGGGAAACAATGTATGTTGCAATTGATTAATCAAAACCACTCATTAAATAAACATATAAACATTACATCAAACGGTTTAGAATCTAGATACACAGAGTAGTCCACCTACCGTTAATAGAATTACCTAGCCACCGAAAAATCTAAGAAACATACGAACCTGATTAAGGGGTAGGCTTGTTGAGTAGGCAAATTGGAAACTTGGTTTTGAAGTTTTTGTCCTTTCGTTACACAACAACTCTCCACATAGTCCCTTTCCCTCCCACAACAACTCCTCTTCTAATTTCCACTAACTATGTTCCTACATCACTTTAACTTGACAGCAATTAACATTTCCTTTTTAGTCTACACCTAACAACAAAGGAAAAATAACTATATCTAATTTTATTAATTTATAATTTTAGTTAACTCCAATAATATGGAATAAAATCACACATTAAATCCATCTATTATCTATTTATAAAAATCAAAATATTTGAAAATTACACGATAAACTCTTTGATTATTAATTTAAACTTGTTGGTGATGTTGAAAAGTTGGTGATACGACTTATGTGAGTTTCAATGGAATTGTAGATCTGAAAGTTAGATGGAGGTGGTATAATGTTGGTTACAGTGGCTTTATGGCTTGAAAGTTACGAGAGTGAGGTTTAGATCTATTTTCGGTTCTCATTATCCTCACCCTACCATGTAAGTTTTTATGTTCTCTTATTTGCAGATTTGTAAATTTGGTTTCTGTTTTAATGTCTTGGTTTCAAACAATATGTTCATAATTCTCAAGAAAAATGTTCAATATCCTTTTGCAAAACCCCACAAGGAAGTTCCAATCATATTTGGTAAGGAAATCACTAACACGGTTAACCTTTAAGTCTATTTGGTTTTTAAATTTGCATAAGCTAATTATAGTCTTGAATTTTGATTTTAGGAGAATGGTTCAATGCAGATACTGAGGCAATCATAGCACAAGCTCTGCAAACTTGGGGAGGACCAAATGTTTCTGAAGCCTACATAATTAATGGACTTTCAGGCCCATTGTATAACTGCTCTAAAAAAGGTACAAGTGCTGATAAATGTATCTTCTAAGACTAGTCCCCGAATGCTAAAAATTGTTGCAAATAATTACTAAAATTGAATATGAAACCTTATACATAACTACATATTATTCCACTTTATTACAATAGAAAAAAAGGCAATAGCAGATGAACACATTCACAAGTTTAGGCACCAATTTATTCAAAGTGGAATAATATGAGAAGAAGGATAGCTGTGGAGCTGGATCGATGGTTTCCACATAAACCTCGAGTGGATACTTGGCTAATGAACCGATACTTTTACCTGAGAATGCAACATGGTTTCCTGAAACACAATTCATTTTAGTCTTGGATATTTATAGTTTATCACTTGTGAGAAAATGTTTCCTTGAAACTGGTATGTTTCGACTCTTCGAACATTGTCACTCGATAAAAATATAAGGTCTAAAAGTAATTTTTGAAAAATGATGCTTCTCCACTCTCGCATATCCTATTTCAAGAATTTCGATCATGACGACAGTCTCAGGGCTCTACGGAGTCCCAACCCCACAAGGGTATTAATTTTGTTTTGCTTTTGATATTTCACTTTCAATGAGAATGTTTCACATGACAACTAATCTCAAATCTGCATAAGCTCATTAATTCATGTGATGATATATCAATATCGTGTCTACCATGTTCATTTGTTGCAGTATCTTCTAGAGTATAATTGTATCTCTATAATCATAGTGTTGTTATGTATTTCTGCAAGATCTGTGTGATAAGACATATGATGTAACACTTAGGAGGGGAGAAAAGACTATGAATGATTTTCATTTGCAAGCGGAACGGAACTTCTATTAGTGTATTTGTCTTGCTTTTGGCCAAGATTTGTTTTAGTGTTTATGTCTTCTTTCTTGGTTCTAAAAAGCTAATTCACACAACTTCTTGATTTGCAGAAAATAACGCGTACAAACTTTTAATGTATTTGATTTTCTAAATGTTATTGTGAGCAAGGTTCCTGATTTAGGCGATTTTGTTGCAACTGGCAACGACCAAACTGTCACTAAGAGGAGGTTTGTGTTTGACTGCTCCTCTTATTTTTGGGCGAGTTTTGTATGCTGATTGTTTTTGTTGCATTTTAGGAAAGCTGCTGAAGATGATGATAATGACAGCGACAAAGAGACTGAGAGAAATAAAATGGTAATATAAGTTATCTTTTCAAACCTTTTAATTAGTAATGTCCCTGCACATGACCTTGCATATATGTAATCTTATGCAGTGTTGTCAATTGCGTATTGAGGAAAATAGAATATTGTTCAAATTACACTACACTGAAGTGCTAGCTATAGCAATGTTGTGTCTGTTATTTGATAACACAATTGTACTAAATCGTCTAACCCGGAACAATAGCGGTTTATTGATATTCTGCTATTCTTTACCTCTATAGTCACTATTTGACAACATTGTTTTGATAATGTCAATAACAAAAGATGTTCATTAAAGTGATTATGTAATTTCACAAAATGTCTTGTGAATACAAATGCGTTTTCTGCAATTTATTACATACGAGTGGAAGAGGAAGATGTAGAGTGGAGGAATGGTTCGTGGTCGTGGAAATAAAGCTATTGATCAAGATATATGTTCACATGTCAAGTTTGAAGATGATTTCGAATCCTCAAAACAAAATTTAGAGGGTTTTTATCAATTCTAACAAAATTTACGTAAATTATAGGTTTTTTTAGAGTTATAGCTTTGTTTTCTACTGTCATGAGATATTTGGTCAAGAATGGATGTGCATGATTCTCAATTTGTAAGCCATCATAACCAACTGTCTTGAAGGCTTTATTGAACAATTTAGGTGATTTACTGTGACTGACAAGCTACCCAATAATCCCATATACTTTTCTCTCAGGTCTCAGTTGTTTGAAATTGTATAGATGCAACAAATATTTAAGTGTAGGTTGATCAGGAGCTGAAACTACCCTTGACTCGAACATATCAAAAGTGAGATACGCACCAAATTTTGCACAAAGTATACGTGAAATAAATCCCCTGTCACCCATAATGTGATACGGTGGGAGAACTGACTTGAAGGTTTTGCGTTTTATCGCAAATGTCGCGGTTAGAAAGAGTCGCCACCGACTTTTCTTTTATCCAAAAGGAAAGGTGAAAAAGCACAGGAAAGACCTTTGAGATGTTTTCTTGAGTTCGGGGGGTAGATTATGAAAAGGGAAGGTGCTAGCACCCTTTTCATCCATGGTTTTCCATGGGCTCTTAGTTACTTGCTTAGATCACTTGCTTTGTTTTGTTTGAAATGATGTTTGGTGTGGTTTTGAAAGTATTTTGTAAAAGAGGCCATTTGTTTAGGCAATCTTTATAATGATTCTCGTTCGTAAGAATGTATACAAAGATGTTTGTCTTTTGAAACTGTTTTCAATGTTTTGCAAGATGTTTTGAAATGTGTGTGTGTTTGTTTTTGAAAATAGCAAGGATTGTTTGAAAAGGAGCAAGTAACTTAGAAGCTATCTACCTACTCAAATGTCTTTCTTATGCATTTTCTATTCCTCTGACATTGTTGACTTACCATTGATTTGGTAAGCAACCCTATCTTTGGATATAAACGAGACGGGCATGGGTCATCGTATAACCATGATAGCAATGTTGCCAAGTATCTTAGCATTTTGAGGGACCAAGATCATTTTATTTAGGCAACTTTTGAATAGCGTCATCGAGGGGCTATGATCTTATACTTGTTTTGTTTTGTCAAGATACTTCGCATGCGTAACATGGCCATTTTATTTTAGGCAACCAAATTGGAGAAACCCTAAGGGTGCTTGCGTGCAAAGTGTATCATTTTCATGCTTTTGATTTTGTCTTGTATTTAGGGTTTTCTATTTTGCTTTGTTTTGTTCTTGTCATGCAAACCCTAATTACTAATCATGGTATATAAAGCGATAAATTGCGTAATGTAAATGTACTAAGCTATTACAAAAAATTTTATGGGAGGGGGGAATACAAGTTTGAATGGCGATTTGCAAAAATATAAAGCTAAATATATTATTACAACCAAATCGAATATGCGCGAATTAAATAAATATAATATAAATATTTAAAATGCAATGAAATATGTATGTAAAAGAAAATATTTTTTATGTCTTGTTTTTGTATAAGAAAAATATTTAATTTAAACCTAAAAAAAAGGAAAAAAAATAATATTTAATTTTGAAAGGGGATTAAACCCTAGTTTTCATTTAAAAGAAAATAATGTTCTATATTATTACTTGGTGTATTTTTTGTATAAATAAAATAAAATAAATAAATAAATAATATTGTATATAAATATTAAAAATTAAATATGTGTAAAAATTGGTATTTGTAAGTATAAAATGTATAATAAAAATATTAAGTATTTTTAATTATATTTATAAGTTATTTAAGAAAATAAATTCTATTCTATCAAAATAAATCAATTTTTTATGTGAGAAAATAATAAAAAAATAAAATAAAAGTGTAAAAATAAAGAAATCATTTTTTAGGTTTTTTTATCATTCAGAAAAATAAACAAAAGTATTAAAAAAATGAAAAAAAATAATATAAAAATATAAAATAGTTAGTTAGGGGGGTGTAATAGCAAGTCAGGGGGGTGTTTGGCAAAAACAAAAAGGCCACGCAGCAAAAAGCCCACTGACTTAATCCCTGTCCTTCATTCATCTTCTTCACGGCAATGCCAGACCAACCTGTATCTTCCTCATGCTTGCATAAAAATGAAAACTCATAACATGAAAAATGTGGCATTTGAGCTCACGATTCCAACCATATAAATTATGTAACCTAACTATAAAAAATCAAAGAGAATTTTGGAATCCCTAAATCGTGACGTAAAAATTTCAGAGATTTCAAACTTCAAATTTTCTTAGCACAAGTAATATAAATGTAAAGTAATGATATGTACAGCTTTGTTATGATGAGAACTATATTTTTTCTTCACAAATTGTGGCTTGAGGTTGCCTGTATATAGAGATAGAGTTTAAGAAAATACCTCCTTCATCTGGAATCGTGTATGGCAATGTAGGGACTTTAATGGAGGCCTGATGATTGCTTGAGCTTCCTTGAGCTTCCCTGAATCTATTCCAACCCTTATCCTGCTCTGAGGATGGCTGGAACTCCCTAACCAAGTCCAACTGCAAGCTTCCAAATTTAAAATGGCAGATGGTGAAACAGAGGTTACAGAACCAGGGTGATGGCTTGGATTGATTAGGTATCAAGTGTATAAGATGTTTGAATCAGTTAAACACAAAACGCACGAGCCAAATGAGAGTTGGTTGAGCTTTTGCATAAACTGTATGCTTAGGCAGATTTTTGTTGTTTTTCAGTTTAAGAGAGTTCTAGGTTCAAGCCAAGCGTGTAATTCCTTGTACAATGTTTGCATATTAGTATAGAAGTGATCCAACGTCAGCTTCCTACTAGCTGTGCAAGCCTTAGCCCTTTTGCAACTTTTCTTATACTTGAAGTAAAGTTGACAAGACCAATCTCACATACTTGTACCAGCTTGCTTTAGAGCTGATATGAGTTTGTACAAATTGCTTGCGAGCTATGTAGTTTGCTTGTATCAAGGGGACAGGTCAAATGCTCCAAGTTGACAAAGTTGCAAAAGTGCATCTTTATGAAAATGGCAATGAAGCCTTTTTGCCCAAAATGGAAATACAACTTGTGTAAAGTTTCAAAAGCAAGGATAAAGGCTTTGTCAACTGAGTATGCCTTTAATTAAGGAGTGTATAGCAAGCTTAGGACCTGTAAAGCAATAAATAACCATCATAGGTTTGGTTTGCAACTTGATTCTATGTGAAAATGGCTTGAACAAAAAGTGAGAAAATGCCAAATTCCTCTCTTCGATTCTCCCTACTCAAAAATGATCTTGGAGAGTTCTGTGACATTTTGGAAAGCTTGCAATGTTCTCTATAATCCATATTTGAAATTAATTTTGAGATACCTCTTGTAACTAGGTGAAAAGTTTCCATGAAGTTGGGTCAAAAACTTGCCTAAATTAGGGCAAAATTTCACTAAGTTAAGAAGTTCATGACCATGTATTCACAAATTTATAACTTGAGATCCAAGCATCTTTAGGGAAAAGTTTGTCAAGAAAAGTTGTAGATTTCATGGAGGACTACAAATTTCATGTTGGGGACTTTCCTTGAATCAAAATGCATCATGGTGAAAAAGTGGTGAAAAGTTGAGAAATAATAAGAAAATTTTTATACTTAGAAAAATTCTAAGTTATGAAAAATTTCAAATTAAAACCCTAATTTTCAAATTTGGTTTTCTTGGTGAACAAGTTTCATATTTTGACATATCTTGATGAATTATGACCCTTGGTACTTGATTTTGACCAAAAAGTCAAAGTTTGACTTTTCAGTATACAGTTGACTTTTTATCAGTTGACTACAAATTTCATCTGTCAATCCAATGAACTTGAGATCTTTTGAACCATGTAATTAGGTCAAGATGATGCTATTGAATCCTTGAAATCATGTTTGAACTCAATTGGTCATTGGCTAGGTTAAAAAAAATCAGAAATTGCCCTTTCTCAGTCAAAACCCTAATTTTGACCATTTTGCCCTTTTGATGATTTGATCAAATTTCTTGAGGAGTTGTGATCCAAACTTGATCAAATGGTACATATGAGTCTAAAATGTTTATGTGGATAAAAAATTATAAAGTTTGACTGTAAATTGGCCATGGTTGACTTTTTCCCCAATACAGCTCATTTTTAGGTCAACTTTCTAATTGACTGATAAAAAATATGGTTCAAGGCTTGAAACTTAACATGAGCAATCTTAGGGGTCCAAAATGATGTATGAAAGTCACATGAAGCATTGGTGGTCCAAAAATCCTTGTGCAAACTCAAACCCTAATTTTGGGTTATTAGTGCAAGATGAGATGTCTTGAGCTAACCAAACCCTAATCTTGTCTTGAGTCCAAGAAGTCTTGTGAGAAAAGTCTTGATAAATGAGAGGGAAAATTTTGGGGTACAACAGCTGCCCCTGTTCAATCTTCTTGAACTTGAAGAGTTAGATTGGCGAGCTTTGTCGTTCGTGACTCGAAGGTAAAAGATGATTGGACACTAGAGTGCCCATAAATTTGCACTCGACAAAGTGTAGTTGAGGGAATGGGCTTAAAAATGCCATTTGGAGAGGTGATAGAATCTTGTTGGAGATGGGCTTGTAGATGCCATCCAAGAATGCTTGTTGAATTGTAAGTTATAAGTCAAAAGAATAATTATCGGAATGGTGTCCGTATCTGGAACGTATCTGAACTGTATCTAGAGACTGAATTTGTATGAGCAATAGAATAACGTCTGTGTATGGAGCGTATCCGAGCTGTATCTGTACTTGAATCTGAATAAGTGACCGAATGGCAACCGTGTCTTGGAGTGTATCTGAACTGTATCTGAAAGATGAATCTGAATAAGTGACAGAATGGCCACCGTGTCTGGAGCCTATCTGGACTGTATCTGAAAGATGAATCTGAATAAGTGATAGAATGGCCACCATGTCTGGAGCGTATCTGGACTGTATCTTGAAGTTGAGGTCTGAATGAGTATCAAAATAGAATCCTTGTCTGCAGCGTATCTGAACTGTATCTGAAGTTGATATCTGAATGAGTATCAGAATGGCATCCTTGTCTGGAGCATATCTGAACTGTATATGAAGTTGAGATCTGAATGAGTATCAGAATGGCATCCTTGTCTGGAGCGTATCTGAACTGTATCTGAAGTTGAGATCTGAATGAATATCAGAATG